TTGCAAGTTTGCTCATACAGCCTGCTCTGCTGCCAGAACACAGGGGTGGCGACACATAACCTTCAAGCTCTACCTGAAAAGAAGTGGTTATCAAAAATATTTGTATATAGCATCCCCATGAACTGCTAAAGGATCTAAACACAAAGACAATGGGCAAGTGTTATTGCATACCTAATGCAGATAAGATAACGCTAATTTAGAATCGGCTGTGTATATCTCCTGTTTGAGCAGAGCTGCTCTGATTCAAATAAAATCTGATGGCTTGGGAAATGACATGATATTTGCTGATCTAAATCCTACATGGACTTCAATCTGTCACACAAAATTTGTTGTGGAAGAGAAATAGAAGTAACTTACAGATTAACCACTTGATTAAGGATCTAGGCTCACCCTCGTGTACAAATCCTGACAGTCACCCAGAATCCTCCATAAGGGCTGTCATGTTTAAAACAGAGAAATAAGAATTGTCTTACCCTCAGATCTGAATGTCAGTTGCTCACATATGTACATTCCTGTTTCATGTGGTCCATCCCTGGAGGTATCAATGGACACTGGATATTATGGACAAAAAATTGGCAGTGTAGATGAATCTGTCATAACCAGCATGCTCTGTACATGATTAATTTGTAAAATGGCACACGTTGCATCAATATTTATATTTAATCCATTGAGACAGCTAGTTAGTTCAGCATATGGGAAGCATTACAGTTTTGTGAGCCTACAATGTCATTTTTTGCACAGGGTGGGTGTATATAACAAAAATAATTGTGTTTATGTAGCAAAACATACTCACACAGACTGTATCAATTGAACTCTTGCACAGCCATTGAAAATACAAATAAAAATATCATTAAAAAATATCCCAGCAGTACAGAAAATAGTTCACACAGAAGAATTCAAATGATGTGTATTCAGAAGGGAAGAGGAGTTTTCCTATGCTGGAGCCAGCAGTGACTGAAGCTGGAAATACCACCCAACAAGCAGTATTTTCAGATGTTTAATTATAAAAATGAGAAGAAGGGGGAGGGAGAGAAAGAAGGGTGAACTGAGATAGCAGCTCAGAGAGAATGAATTTCAGGCCTTTGGCTCAGAAAAACCTGCAGTTACCTGCCAATTTAAAGCCTAATGGGTAGTTCCAAAACATGGTATCAGGGTAGGAGACTGCCTGCACTGAAGATCATTAAGAAACCTGTGGATATAATTGTGACTGTCCATGCTGAGGACTTGAAGTCCCAAAAGACTATCTAGAAGTTTCTTGCCAGCACTCCCATGTTTTAATATGGGCGAGGGACTGGCTTTGGTTAAAATCCACTTCCTCTTTGTCCAATTGCTGCTGTTCATAGCAGTGATGCAGCACTGCAGGCTTTCAACAGCTAGTACGGGCAGGAGGTGGAACTCCTGGGTGGTGTTAACATCACTCCCTTTGCCAAAGTTATGGATATCACTGTCCAAGTCCATGTTGGATGGTACAGGGAAGCTCCAAGAGTCCAAAAACAGGGCTGATGGTGGCAAATACCCCCACAGACTGCTTAACAGGGTGGTGGGAACACCAGGCTGGCTTTTTACTTTTTATTCTTCCTTCTGAAGACAGATGAGCTCCAAGTGCCCTGCTCACTCCTTAATGGAATATCTTGGTAAAAATACACAACTGCTTCCCTTCTCACCAGACCATTCAAGACTGATGGAACTGAAAGTATCCGGCTATTGCTGGGTGGAATGGTCCATGGACTCCTGCTCACCTGTGGGATAACTCTTGGGTCAGAAAACAAACAGGATGTTATTTGCAAGATCTGTCTTTACTCAGAATGTAAAGCTGCCCCTTTCTGCTTCTTAATTAAAAAAAATCATCTTACCCTGGTTGGTGTGCTGGACTGTACAGGAAGCAGCACAAAAGTTAGAGATGGCAAAGATCAAACTATTTGGTTTTACAGGTTTGTTTCTGCACTATGAAAGCTTGACTTTTGAGCAGTGAAACTTGGGGTTTTCCCTTTGCATACAATTAATTAAGCCCTCACTTTTTTGGAAAGCTTTCTGGAGGTTGAGGACAGCTCTACTTTAACAGTTGATGGTGTAACACGTAGAGCCTAAAGCACGATGTCTCTGAGAATAGATGATGTACAGACTCTCCCCTCTGGTCTGGTAGGGCTCAGGCTTAAGCCTCTGACACCCAGAGCTGGAATCTTGGAGACTTTCTCACCTTGGAGAAAGCTGGACATATTTCTCAATTAACAGTACAGGATGGCTGGCAGATGCTTTCCTCCTAGGAAGGGTGATGCTCACTGTCTTTTGTTTCCTTGTCCTTCCAATCCTCACTCCCTTCCCTTTGGGAAGTTTTCAAAGGATCTGAGCAACCGAGGTGATCACTGTAATGTGTTTCTAAATGACTTTGCAGCTTTTGGAATCAATTGTCAGATCTTAACAAAAGCTGTTTGATTATGTACTGTTATTAAATATACTTTTACTTCAGAAATGATTGGAAGACTTTGGCAGGGGGTAGCGGGCTCTGATGTTTATGTAGACGAGAGTACGGTGCTTCCAAGGTATTTTTTCCCCATAAAGTGGCAAGAACACACCAATTTTCGTCTTAAAGCCAAGAAAGAAAACTGGTTTATTCTCTTAAAGATTTTCCTTTGTAAGAGGCCATTTCCTGGCCCACAGCTGATGGGGGCTTTAATTCTCAAGCCCTGGACTGAAGGGAAGGTCTGCCCTGTGGATGGGAGAGATGGTGCCATTGAAGGGAAGGCTGCAAGGGCCGTTCCCAGTTCCTCCACTCACAGGGAATTAGGGTGAAGATAAAAGGTAAAAAACATCAAAGCTTTTGGGAGGTATATTTGTGGATTCAGTGTGTGTTCTTTCCATGCCTTTGGAAAGGGTCTTTCAAGTAAAAGTGTGTCAATGACCTGGTAAATGTGGGAGGAAACGGCTTGTCTTGACCCTCAGTGTCAGAAAAGGGGGGGACGATTCTTTCAGCGGCTTTGCTGGCTTGCAGTGGTTTACATTATCTGAGGAACTATAGCGTAAATGTAAAGCATGTGATTGCTAACTCCCCATTCTTTGCCTGCCTCCATTATAGTCCTACAGACTCCTCGTGTAGCACTGGGAATAAGTGTGGTTCAGCACTCATTATATTCCCTTTATTCATTTGTGCGCTCACATAGTGCTAATAACAATGCAGCACAATAAAAGATAGCACTAGAATCTTAAATTAAATGCAGCCTTTCCAGTATCTCAGCAGGGTGGCAGGCAGGCATATATTTCCAGCTGCCTTTCAGCAACCCCATTAATAAATCATACTTATTTTCCTGGAAGGAGAACTGCTGGGACATCCTTCTGTTTTGGGGGCAGAATCACGTTCGATATCCCATTATTATTTCTTGGACCTGGGTGTGAAGTTTAGACTTGAGAATTTTAACTGCCAGAAACTCCATGGTCTTCTTCGTACCTTCCTTTAACTCCCATTTAGAAAGGTTTTTTTCCTGTAATTCTCATCCACCAACTTACATGCTGTTCTACTTAATGAGCAGCTTTGCCCTTATATGTGTTGTTATGTTATGTTATGTATATGTGTGTTATATATGATCACCCTTTCTTAGCATGTGTCTGTCCCTAATGATTTACCCAGACAAAGCCTGCATCAGAACACGTCTGAATGCTGGCAATCTTTGATCCCTGTAATACATCTGGACATAGGCAGTGGCCAGTGTCTTCTGAAACAAGGGGAAAGTTTGAGTTCAGGTCCAAATTATTTTGCTTACACGCAGACAGTCTCAGATAAACAGCCCGGGTTCTCTTAATATTTCCCTGCTTACCCTGTTTTTCAAAATGTTTGTTGTTTTGATTGTTCCCTAAGATATCTCTCCAACTTTCCTCTGGCTTTATTAGAAGAAGGCAAGGAAGGGAGAGACCCAACAGCCTCATTCAACTAAGTATTATTAGTGACAGTCCTGCTAACTCCTTTGCCAAGAAGTTGTTTATCTACAGAGAATAAATCTTCAATTTATTTTTAATAGTAGAATCTCTGCTAATAACTTTGGTAATGACAACTCTTGTTTCAGTAGAAATTTATGTTTTAAGAATGAATTGCTGTTTATTTTGAGGGTCTTACATGGACAGAAAACAATTTACATAGACTAATGACAATAAGTCACATCGACCTCAAGTTCTACCAAAGTGCAACGATGGTCACCATCATAACCTGGAGATAAGGACCATTACCACGGCAGTCTCTATAGCTACAGGGAGAATACTTTGACTGTTCTAGTAATACCTGTCTGCAGAACCAAAGCTGCAGATTTTTACTGGAAAAAGTTTAGGAAGATGTAGAAAATTGTGAAAATACCATTTAAAATGAAGCCTTAGGTGAAATTGTTACAGGGGTTGGTTTTTTTTGTTTGGTTTGGTTTCGGTTTTTTTGTTTTGTTTTGTTTTTTCTTACAATAGAATGTCTAAGCTTAATATCTGGGAAATTTCATAATTGTGTAAACAATCATATGGTACAGATTGGCCAAATATGAACCTAACCTGCTTCCATTAAGTACTTTTGCATTTAAGCTTTCTTGAGCCATTTGATTAATGAGGTCTTTTTTCAGGTATTGCAAAAGTGTAATCAGAACTGAATGTTACACTCCCCATTAAGATCCCAGTCTGAAGCAGAGCTTGTTCATGGAGCAGCAGGCAAACATGCTACATTGCTATGCAAACGTGAAACCTTGTTTTAATCTGTTGTGTTTGAAGGAAGTTAGAGTGGGTTAGTATGAAATCTGTGATGATATCTGGCATAACAAGTGTTTGTGAAATTCTCTTCAGTTAAATCTTCTGAATCAAAGTTCATGCTCTTAGTGTTAGAGAAGGGGGTTTCTGAGGGAGCGCTCCCCCAATTCACAGTGTTCTCTTCCCATTCAGGTTTTCAGTCAGATGTCTATCTTAGTCTTGACTTCAATGTTTAGAGATACTTTAACCTTGCAAACAAAATAATGGGGACCTCTGGTTGTTGTCATTAGAAAATTGGCTGCGATGGAATCATTGGCTCAGCTGCCAAAGAGGATCGCTGTGGAATCTGCAGTGGTGATGGCAAAACCTGTAAAGTGGTGAAAGGCGACTTCAACCACACCAAGGGGATGGGTGAGTAACCCTCAGCAGCATTTTAGTGGAGTGAAGGTTCTCTTAACTGCTTGAGGAGAGTTAAAGAGTGGCAGCAATAGCTCTTCTTGGATAGCATTGGACTCATCTGCTCTAGTAAACACGTAAGAAGCACGAAACAAAACCCAACTCAATTCAAATGTGATATTCTGTCTGCTTCTTATTCAGCTGCCCAGATACCAGCCATTGCCTCTGTCTGAAATTCAAAATGAAGTTGTTTCTCATTTTGAACGCTACCGGTGCTGTTGATTTTAAATAAGAGACAAAATCACGGTATCTTTTCCAGTGAGAGGGAAGTCTTATTTCAGCACCATCTTTGAACTCTTGAGAGCTCAGAATGATGCATGTTGCACATGATTCATGTTATAATCAGGATATTTCAGCTAAATGAAAGAGCACTCCCCTCTGAATATTTTTACTGATTCTTTGCCAGCAATAATATCCAGTATAGGATACAAGAGCTTCCGGTCAGAGTTAAGACTTTCCCCTGTCTTGTTAAACATTAATGTATATACAGCTTGGTGTTTGAATTAGTCTTTGTTCCAGAGTTTCTGTATTGCACTTCTGAGAAACCTGTTATCACACATCCTAATCAGGCAAAGGGAGAGAAAGCCAGATTCAGCACTTCCTCCAAGAGGAATTAATTGTCCAGAAAAAAATTATTTCACATTCAGTGAATACAGAATTGCCATTTCTGTATGGAAAAATATATTCAACATGTGCTACTCCAGGACAGAGTTCAGCAAAGCACATAAAGATTCCCTTTAAGCAAACGCTTCAATTCTATTTAGTTACTAAAACAGCACCAGCGCTCAGCAACTTTCTTGAACCAAGGTCTCAGCACTGAAGTCTGAGGCTCTGATTTTGTTCATTGACCAATTCCTCTTCACCTTCCTCCTCCTTATCTGTGGAGCCAGCCGTGATCTGTCACCTCCTCTCAGATGCAGGTGGGATTTCCACAACCACATCTTTCTGGAGCACGTTTGTGCCATTGCATCGCGAGGCCAACCTCTTAAATGATTTCCTGCATTCTTGCCTTTGACTCTTTTGTCCCAGTTATTTTCCACCCACTTATGTCAAGGCATTTGCTTTTGATGCAAATGGTGGGAAAAGTTTCTCATTTCCATTGAAAAAAACTATTCTCATTTCTGTGGTGGATTTTATAGCTGTTCACGAACTTCTTAATTGCTCCTGAAGAGTGACTATCTTTTATCTTTTCCATTGAGACCACAGAACATCTTGTGCAGATAAATAAGAAATTTCTGGGTCACTGCCAGGAGGTTGCACCCGTTTCCAACTAGACAGGCTGCTTGAGGGTGGTAACTTTACAAGGCTGTAGGAACAGAACAGTTTCAGCCTTAACTGGTTGTTTGGCTGCCAGGAGACTACAGGAGGTTTTCACCCCCAGCGCCCTGTAACCTCTTAAGAAGAAACGGCTGAATCACAGTTAGTGTTCAAGCATTTATGGATCCTTTTTCTTTGCTGATCATCTCACAAGCACAAACCTGTCAAAAAAGTCCTTTGTTAATGCAATGTTTCCATCTTTACTGATCTCACTTAATCTATAAGATAATTATTTATACAGTTATAATCTCATAAATGTTTATTAGATGTTTTGATTTATTAACTTTAAAGGGAATTGGATTTTATGTAGGAATAGCTTTAAAAAGTGACATCTGCGATACAACAAACAATCTTCTAGGTGGAAGAGCATCTTCGCTTTTTTACTGAGCTTCCTAGCTGACTAAAATGGGGAGAATATTCATGGTCTTCATGTTCTCCTGCTTTTAGATTTCTTTTATGTTAGACACTGAAACAGACTTGTTGATTCTCAGCCCCAGTTCTGCAAATATTTTCTGCATTGTGAGTTACTCCGATCAATATCTATTCATATATTGCTGGTTTGCAGAATCAGGTCCTCAGGTTAACTTACAGAATCTTATGCAGCAGGCAAAGCCCCAGGGTTGGGTTTGAGTGAATATGAGGTTACTCAAGAAAATAATTGGCCTTTTTTCTTTAAATTGACGTATAAGCAAATATGTACCAAAATCTGAGAAAAGCTGGGGTGAAGGAGAATACACAACATGACTTTGGTACCAGATTCAGGGTTTGGAAATGTAAGTGATTGCACAGGTCGGTGGCAAATCCCCACGAACTTGCTGCAATCAAAGTCAAGGCCAACGCACTGAGTCAAGTATGTTGATTTATTATTTCAGAAGAGAATAGACTTCAAATATCAAGACATTGATTGTTTTGGATTGGTATCTATTTTGGGAATTGCAGCTGTGACTTTTGGGCCAGATCCTCAACTGCTCTGCACGTGGGACTCCACTGACTGCAGGATTGGTCCCTAAATGTCCTGTGATTGCGAATTACGTTGTCAAGCCCTATTAACTGAACTAAATCCATGCCAACTCCTTTCTGTTTCTTAGTAACCAATAGTCATTGTAAGAAGGTTTCCACATGTGTGATGGCAAAGGCAAAGGCTGTTCCCAAGTGTTTCTCGTGTAAGATACTTGAATGCTGTTTGCAGTGTCAGTGGGTGTTGGTGACATCCTTTGGTGTTGGTTCTTTGTCTTCTTTTGGTTGGATTAGATGGGGAGATTGGTATCAAAAGCCATGGATAAACTTCAAGTCCTTTTACTGTTTAGCTTGGTTTGTCAAAGATATCAAGTACAGATCCTTTCCTTTTAGAAAATCTATCTGCATGAAAGAAAGCCAAATTTCATTAATCAAGTAAAAAGAACCAGGCCTATTTCTTTTTTGTTCCAACCTTAATGTCACAGATGAGATTCTGCCACCATGGTGGGGCATGATGGTGGAATATTCAGAGTGCCTCATAGGAGGTCCAGCAGTTCAGATCTTGCCACGTGTGATCCAGCAATAAATGGATTCCATTACTTTTTTGGAGGAGGAGGTCAAAAGCCTTTATTTGTGATGCTAAACGTCACATACACTTGTGTGCAGCTGGCTGTCTTCAGCAGGCCAACTGAATGCACTGTTTAGACTGAGGTTTACTTTTGACTGGCAGCATGCCCTGTACCTATTTCTACAAAATAGTTTTTCAAAAACAAACACAGACTTGTTCTGAAGTCCCTCTCTGTCTCCCTGCCACTGTACAGGGAGCCTAGAAATAAAGGACAGCTCTTTGGCTCGTACCTGTTGGGTTGCTGTTTTATCACTTGCTCCTGTCCAGACTCCAAAGCTGTGCCTGTAATGGTCAGAGACCTGGACTGAGAACGAGATCTACACTTGTCTCACTTGATTTTTCTCTGTCATATCAAGATTTCCATATCAAGGACCACAGATACTTGGATTTTTTTTTTAATGGCAGAACGTAATAAGACAAGATATACCAGTTGTTGTAACCATCATTTTGGCAAATGAAGAGTGTATCTTTACTAGGGATTTTTCTTTTTAAGATGGTGAAAAAACAGGCTTTTTATTGTGTACGTTACTTGTCCAGCACATATTTAAAAGAAAGAAAAGGGTATTTGACCTGTAGTGCTTGCTAGGAGCATCTTTAGCCAACACAAGAAATGCTTTTTTTTGTTGATAGGGTGTACATCTAAATGATGAGAAAATCGAGCCCTAGGGCCAACTCTGGGGTGTCTTACAAGGGTTTAAGCAGAACACGCAAGTTACAAGTCCCAGAAACCAACTTCACAGCAATAGTAGGAGGCTTTGAAATCTATCCATGGCTCCCCAGTGAAATGATTTTCTTCCAAATGAGCTATCCCATGGCTGGAAGTGGACAGGTGCTGATGGAGGAATTACTCTCAAGCAATAGCAAGTGAGAATCATCACAGCCATTCAGAAAAAGGACACGTAGTTACCGCTGGACATTTCCACTCCACTGTGACAACAAGCACTCAGCACAAGGTGCAAGGTGGGAAGGGTCATGGAAACAGATGCCCAGCTGGTACTTATCCCTAAAATACTAAGGAAGCTGTGCTGGCCCTGACCAGCAGGTAGGCAGGGCAGTCAGATTTCCATGGCTCCTACCCCAGCCTCTTTGTTCACATCACTTTGGGGAAATTTGATAATGCGATGAGCACTGTTGACTTTGTCACACCTAAGTTGCAGGTGTGTACAGGGATAAGACATGCAGGTACAGTGCCCACAGATCAGTACTTTCAGCCATGGGATAATTTTCCCTTTACCTCAGAGTCCATCTGTCATTGCAATGTGAACCAGGAAAACAGTTTTGTAGTAGACCAGTGGCGTTCTGAAGTTCACACTAAACTTTCTGTTCTTTCTGGGAATAATAACAATGGCTAACAATGGATTTTCTTGTGTGAGCTGCTTTCCTCTTGCAAATCTCTCCAGCATTTAAATGAAGATACAGTAGCCACTGTTCACATATTAATCTCCTTGATGACAAAGCCACCTCTTTGTTCTGGTGTCTCTCCTAATACGAGTTACGCCATATAATTTGTATCTAGGATTTGCTTCAATCACGGTCTTACATTCCTGAGACACTGATGTAATGCAGATTATCCAGAAAGATTGGTGCGTGCCAAAGTAACTGTTCCCAAGGTGGAGTATACTACATACAGCACTATAAATTATCAAATAATGAAGTTCTCCTGTTGTACTTTCAAAGCTTCATCTTAACAGGCTGATTTATGGGTGAAATTACTAGAAATACTGCCTGATAGTTGCCAAATCTCATCAGTCTTTAACCAGTTCCTCATTTTAAGCAGAACTTTAAGCCCAACCTTGCAAACCCCTGCATTGCAGACAATTATCCTAAGACCTAACAGATCTTTGAGACTCCTTGACTCAGGGCCAACTCTGAGACTCTTTTTGGTCTTACTAGCTGACACTTGATAATCTTTCTGGCAATCTGCAGTTACAGTTTGCTTAATAAAATGTGCCTGGAAAACAATGGAGGTGTTTTCTGGTGCAGTTATCTCCAAGATCAGGAATATTCTGTGACCAGAAGCCTCACATTAGCTCTAAGGACCAGACTGGAGTGGTGGTAGTTTTTATCAGTGGGAAATTTGCATGGGTGTTACATAGTATGTTTGCAATAGGATTTGACCACTAACTCACACTATATTGCTGGAAATAATGAATGAGAGTGTCAAGACACTCCAGGTGGGACATGCCCAAGAATTCTGCATCATCTCTGAAAGGACAGGTCAGATACAGCTGCAAAGTGATTCACAGTTCACTGGCCGAAGATTGAAGGTCAGGAGTCAGGTTTGTGCCACATGATCTCAGTGAGGTAGCGCAGTATGTTTCTTCTTATTCAGGAGCTGTGAATACAACCCCCCAAAGTCATCAATCAGGATTAGAAATTACATGAGGAGAAAAAATCTGGTATAAGACCAAACTAAACAGTCTCCAGAACTAATACGCTATTAATAGCTTACACTCCACTATTTACTATTGTAAAAAGTAACATAAAAGTCAACTTTTCCACGTGGTGTTTCTCTCATGGCACAGTGATGAAATGAGAGCGTATTTATGGCACTAGCTGAACCTCAAGCAGGGCTCCACAGCTCGCTCACCTCTGAAGCAGTGTGACACACTCCTGGCTGCTGCTGGGTCAGGGGACAGGACCAGAGTTCCCTGAAGTTAGTGACTGGCTTTTCACTAAATTCAGGGTAACTTTGTATCCCACCCCAGTATGATTTAACTCTGGGCATTTGTATCTGGCATGTGATTTAAAAAAGAATAAATAAGTAAATAGTCCCCCAGTAGGTACACTAAATTACCTGAAGCTTGGGCATGTTCCAAACTGGCTTCCTAACAGGGGTGTTCAGGTGTGTCATAGGCCTGTTTCCCCGTGACGGGTTGTCATTAATCACACCTTTGCTGTGTGCTCACGTCTGGCGGTAATTGTCGGTTGGGTTTACGTGCAGATGCATGGGGTGCAGTGAGGATGTTTGATTTCTGAAACACTCTGTTTTGACTGTAATTTGGTATCTCAGCTGAGGAAAAACCAACTCCTGGCAGTGTCTAGAATAAAATCCAACATCTGTTTGCTTTGATTTCATAACAGATTTCAGTATTGCCTTAAAAAAATTGACCCTGGAAGTAATGATTTTTCCCAGAGAAACCCACTCTGTAATAGCAGGTGGGAGAGCCACTGCTCTGGCTGCTCTACACAGACCAGCTTTGATGCTCTGCTGTCCCTCTTTCTTGTTTTCATGCAAGGAATGACTGAGTGTTTCTGAGATATCCTGAGTAAAGGACAATTAGATAAGGAGGAACAAGTGCAAAAAGAACTGAGCTGAACATTGCTGAATGCTAGAGGAGTCACTGCTCCTCATGGCAGCACTTCTCCAACCCAGTGCTCTACATGGCCCAAAATTTCCCTAAAGGCAGGTCTGACACAGAACAGCTTCACACAGCCCTTTAAAGCAAAAAAAAGAGGATGAGGGAACACACAGGATAAGCTACTTAACATCTAAAAGAAAGGGGAGAGCAATCAGCCAACAGAGGTGCCAAGTCATATACTGCAAAGTAAACTGGGTGGCCAATTAGAAGGAATCAAATCATGGTCGTGATGAGATTAGTGTCATTTACAGGGGCCTGATTCAGATTCCAATGAAGTCAGTGGAAAAACTCTGCCTGGCTCCCAGACCTCTGAAATGGGCCTTAATGTTCCTCAGCTTTATAGTTTAAAGGCACCAATTCCACCCCGTAACTCCACATGGCTCTGTGGTGTGGGAAAATAGGCTGTTTCCTTGTACCTCCTAATTATTCCATTATTCTGTTAGTCAGAAATGGTATAATTGTGTCATATTTCTGATTGTTGAAGGAAACATAAAAAGAAGGAGAGAGTTTCAGAAAGATTAAAAAACAAGAGAATTCTATAAAAATATGATGGGGCACTGTAAAAACGTCCCTGCCATGTCAGATGCTCAGATGGTCTAATTTGGCCTGTGTGGCTGTGGGCAGTGTTTAGGGGTGACTGGTGGTCAGTCTTTGAGAAACTTTCAGCTCTGTCGTTGCATTAAATCTGAGCTGTGGAATTCTGTTTAGCAGCCTGATACAAGGAGGCTGTTACCACTATATCCTCCAGATTTTTTGTATAAAGCTAAAGTGTAAGTGAAAACAATTTTTTTCCCCCCAGTGTCCCGCTAATTCCCTTTGTTTAGTTCTAGCATCATCAAAATGGTTTGTGGAAGTGAGTCCTTTCTGATACGTACCCCAGCCTTGAGCAGGGTTATTTTTGAAGGGGAAAGCAGGAGCATCTATGGGAAGCTTCATTTCAAATCACAGAAGTCTGTTTTGCCATGTGCAGTGTTGCTTCTGCCAGTGACCCTTTGCGTCAGCTCAGGAACACTCCTCGTGCATCCTTGTCAGGACCACGGGAGAGCCAGGGTGATTCCGAGGAAGAAAATCTAATTAGGCCCAAGCACAAACCTTAAGTCACAATTAAGCAGCGCACGTGCATTTCTCTCCCTCTTCTCAGGCTGAAATGTTAGTCATCACCATGCATGTCACAGCAGTGAAACTTGGCTGCCAACTCAGGGATCTCATTTGAAGTGTTTCCCACCCGTTCCCCAACCTGGCAGGAGTTGATTTTTCAGGGTGAGACACTGAATGATGGATGCCTCTGGCTGGCTGGGGCGTGCTCTCATCCATCTGCTCTTTTGTTGCCATAGGTTACATCGAAGCAGCTGTGATCCCTGCAGGTGCCCGGCGGATCCGAGTGGTTGAGGATAAACCTGCTCACAGTTTTCTGGGTAAAAAGACAAAAGAAAAAAAAGTTTCGATTCAAAACTGAGCTCTGTTTTCTGTTAAAATGACCTGTCTCTAAATGACCTGTAAGATGAAAGGTTTGTTGTTGCCAGGAAGCAGCTGTTGATTTCATTCTTGTTGCAATCTCTCTCTGCTTTCGTGTCTTTGTTTCATGATATTTGCTTCATGTGACAGTATGTGACACTTACAGGCCCAGTGCAACCTGAAAGGACCAGAAAATACTTTATATAGACAGAAGAGCTCCTGAACAAAACTTGGCACTGGGTTGAACATAGATGCCAGGAGCACACAACACTTTGGGAGAGAGTGGGAAAGAGAAGAATGCACCTAGAGAAAGGAATGACAGAGATACAGATGGGAAGGTGCCCAGCTCAGACTGAAGCAGAGGCAGCACAGGGCAACTGATATAGACAACATCATGGTCAGGTTATTGAGGGATGCTATTTCCTGCAGCAACAGGTTTTCACTTGATGCTGTACCCAAGACCTGATCCTGCAGTCTGAGATGGGCTACCCACAGCCTCTAGTCCACCTGCCTCTATTTTCTCAGGCCAGATGATTTGTTTAATCCTCTTCTCATTTCTTCTTCTGCGTTCCTTTTGAGGGGAACAGGCTTCCTCTCCTCTTTTCCCTGTTGGAAACAAAAGGTTTAGACGTGGGTGTTGGGTCAGATTTTTATGTGAGGTTGTTGTAGGGCAGAGTCTGTCAACAAATTTGTTGTCTAGTTACTAATTGCTTAGATTAAAAATTGGAAGGGCATTAGTAAAATGCAACATCAGCTGTGATGTACATCTGTCAGTCTGGTCCTTTATCTATTCTCCCCAGTGTTAGCAGTGTTTCTTTTTGTTTCATTGCTGTGCAATGGATGAAGGGCTTTATCTCCCATCTACTTCTAGAGAGACCAAGTCATAGAAATGCTAATGCCCCATTGCCCTGAATTCACACAGCAGGTCTGGGGCAGTGCAGGGAGTTTGTCTGAAGGAAAATTGTCCAAGGCCCAAAAGAACACCCAGCACACTGAAACATCCTTTGCACACTCAGAGCTGCATGGCCATGTATAAATGGGGGAATTCTTCTAGCTCTCTTGAGTTCTTTATGCTGTGTGGGAAAACAAAAGAATAAGAGAAAATCCCAAACTTCCTCCTTTGTTCAGTGAGCTTTTGCAGCTTATGTGCCCTGCCTTTTCCAACCTAAGCTTTTCTTGCTGTCAATGAGCTCATTAACACATGATTTTTGTCCTTCCTTATCAAACAGTGTTTCAGCCCTTCCACATGCTGATATTCTTATTGCAGTGGTTGGAAGAGGTGCATGTTCCAGCTGTCCCTTAGCCTGGGAAGTATTAGGTATTGTTTTCACTTCGTTCTCTCGAAGTGAGCTTCTCAGAGCGGAGACACTACAAGGTTTTAGGATAGAAAAGCACTCTGAAAGATGGACTTACTTCCAGAGATCTATCAAGCCTATGGTAGGAACTCTGGGAAGATTACAAAGCTTTTTGCTCTCTGTTTTGCAAAAGGGGGAACTGAGGTGTTGCAACTTGCTCATGGCTATGCAGGGAGTCAGTAGCAAATCTCAGACCAAGACCCTTGTTTTCTGATTTCCATGTCTTTTTCTTATAATCTTCTATCTCTGCGCCTAAAGGAGACATTAATATCCAGTACTGGGGTATAGGATGCCACTGAAAACATATATATAGTGATCATGTCTTAGGGTTTCAGGCCTAGTGCCATGGGTTTTCTGTCTTGAGATGCTACCAAAGTTGGCAATATCACTGGAAAAGATGCTTTTGTTCTCTGTCTTTCGTTCCAGATTCAGGGGGAAAAAAGAGGGTAAATCATGTCAAAATCAGGTCAAAAACACTGGCATTTGTGCCACTTCTTGATAGGAAGCACGTATCACTACTGCTAGTATTTCCTGTAACGCTGCAGCCAGCTTGTTGGGAGAGGATTACGCCTACACGTAAGATATTTGACATAGCAAAGCAGTGGTGGAACAATGAGAGCCAGTGTTTCCTTGGGTTTTACAAATACTCTGCCTTCTGGAAGCCAGCCTCTTTGTTTGTCTTGGTAGGATTTGCACAGGGTATTTGTCCGGGGCTTGGGCTTTGGCAGATATCTGCAGCACGGAGAGCCTTACATGGAGCTAGTGACTGCCCTTCATTGTGACCACATAACCTTAACTAAAGCAGATACTTTCCCACTGGGTGGTGAAGATTAGGACTGTGTATATTTGAGAGCAGGACTTGCTCCTGTGTGCATCACATAAAGAGAGATAAAAATCTGGCTATTTTAAAGCTTCTGAGTGCTTTTAGCTCTTTGTTTCATGGTCAGGAGCCAGCAGAACCTCTCTAAGCTTTCCAGGGTTTTCTCTATCAAGGACCACTGGACACAAAGAAAAGATAACCCAATGTCTCATTAACCTAAGCTGAAGAATAGCAGCAGGAATATCCCAATAGGACAAACAAGATGCCCAAGAAAAACTCCATCACTCTGATAACCTCATAATGCATTGTAAATCCAGGTCTGAGTATGGAAGGATTTTCTATTTCAATTACCCTGACAAAGGTGAGTCCAATCAGGTCCTATTTCCACTCAGAACCGGGTACAGCACTTTGGAAATGAGCCCAGCATAATTTGGAATCGTTATTCCATGTGCTGGGAGCAGTGCCTGAAGAATTTCCCTCCACCTACAGGCAACCCACGCCGGCTGCCTTGGCTGGCTGTAACACTTAAAAACCACCTTTAACAGGAAATGCCTTGGCAGTTTGTGTCCACAGGCTGGGAAGCAAGCTGGAGGGACCCAAGGTGGAAATAAAGATCTGACTAGATGCCAGGTTTAGAAATAGATTGGTCAGTTCCTGTCTTCCAGCCAAGAAGAAAAAAAGAAGGCATGGGTTGTTGCTGGGGTTCCTTTTTATTTTGCTCTTCTACTATGAGCCAGAAAAAGCTTAGAGATGTAACAGTGGATTCTTGGTACTGCCTAAATGCACCTAGAGTGGGGAGAAGAGAAGAAGCTGTGCTTTGCTACCCTAGTTGAGGTGTAGTGTCCCAGGAGAACTGCAACCAGCTGTCCAAGGCAGAATAAATCCTGTGGATGCTAGCTTAAATCAGTGAGGACCGTTTGGCAAAAAGGGCTCAAAACTGCTGTCCTGTTTGGGCTTTTCCACCAGAGTTAGACAAGTTTTGTCAGAGATATATCCTGCATATGTCGTGGTCTCCTCAGCTTCTACCACTGAGCTTTCAGGGAGGTTGGGAAAGTGTTCTTTGTTGGGTGCTTTGCTTATTCTCTAAAAGGGCAGTAAAGATACTTGGAGTCTTGCAAGTGCTTCTGCAATGCTTGGATGCTTGGACGGAAAGCACAGCATTCAATAAGAGCAAAAGGCTGTGTTCACCCCACTGAATTCAATACTATCTCCTCAGGCCTGGAAGAGCTGTGTGTGACAAAAGCCATCAGAGAAGGAGCTGTACTGTGTGTCTAAGAGACAGGGGTGACCCCTACCAATGGGGCACTTGCATGTGATGAAGACAAACAGTGGCAAAATGTCTTTGACCCACATACTCTGCTGAGTCTGCAGTGTAATTCCTGCAATCCTCAAGGAGCACCTTTGGGAACAGAGCTGTTTCCAAACCCTCTGTCTCCTCAGTCACTAAGGGAGCGGTGCCTGCAGCGATCAAAATCAAACCTTTCCCAGAGAAGAGGTCCACAAAGATTAAACATTTTGGTTTTCATCAGCAAGCTATCTTCCTTTGATGATGAGCTGGAGCCAAAGCACAGGTTTAGTCATTCAAGCTCTTATACCCTGTTTTTGAGTGTGTGCCATATCTTCACTAGGCAGCCATACTGCCTGGTTTGATGAGTTTTATCTCATTGGCAGCCTTGATTAGTCACGTTCGCGGCTCCTCAAGGCCAGTGTGATGGCTGCTTTGATCTGCCTGGAAGCCACTGGGCTTTGGCAGAGGAAAGCAATCCTGCTTCAGAATTTTGTCTGAAGTTTGCAGGAGGTACTTTGTAGATCAAGGAACAAAGCAGGAAGAGAAGCAAGCTGCAGACAGAGTTATATTCCTGTAGCATGCAAATACCAGGATGCCATCATACCCCTAGTCTATGTGCCAAAGAGACCATAAGAGCTGTCAGGAAGGTTGTCTGCAGCACGACAGAAGGATGTTCCACCTTTCTCCAGTAACTTCAGAGGATACAGATCCTCAGAAAGGCACACAGAGACACAGAGGACATTGTGTCCTTCACCTGCTCCAGACTTCCCCAGAGGTTAGACACTACAAATGATGCTCAGCTGGTAAAATGAATGTGTCCTGAAGTATTCCTGGGCACCAGGGTCATGGAACATCTTGTGTATGGGCTCTCGGGTCCCAGTGGATTGGGGCGGGCTGCCTGCCTACTGCTTGTTGAGAGGGGACTCTGGATAGTCCTGGATCCTGACCATGCTAGCAGTTGTTTGGGAGAATTCAAGTTCCCCTGGGCCATAAGGGTGCTAGGGACCACCTTAACAACACACGGGTTCCCTTAGGGTTGTGCCTGTAGGTATTGGTTGCTGGTTGGGGTGTGCTAGGGACCATTTTAACAACACACGGGTTCCCTTAGAGTTGTGCCTGTAGGTATTGGTTGCTGGTTGGAATATTCTGCCCTCCAGGCTGGAGCACAATCAGGTATTAAGCTGATCTGCCAAGTTCACATTCTATCCACTGACCAGTCTCTGCTTTGTAACTTGTCTTCTCATTATAACTATGAGAACTAAATGTTAACTTGTTCGATGTTTGCGTTATGGAGTGCACACAAACTCAGGAACAGTTTTGTTTTGCACTTGCTAATCTGCACATGTGTGTCAAGATTTGATCGATCTTTTTCTCAAGAAAAGTTGAGGAAAATACAGTTTCAAAAATTTGGTTCTGGTTGAAAACTAAAAAAAAAAAAATAGGATAATTGTTTTGCTACGTTTGGAAGGAGAGTTTAGAGGTAAATGATCTATGAATTTTATGTTAATGCTTGAAGATCACCATAGGTTTCTTTATATACTATCTGAATGAGAATCTTTGAACCCAACTGCTGCCAGGCTTCAGTCAGCCTTGGGATGAGCAGTTTACATAAAAATATACAGAGCCTGCCTTGCAAACCAGACTTCAGTTTACAGCCACTGGTGCTCTCATACTATTTCACTCCAAGTGCCAGTTTTAATAGCTGCAAGAGTATAACACTGCAAGTGTGTAAGTGTTTTACCAGAAGTATCTTCAGGTCATACTCAAGCAGCTACTTTGTGGTAATAGATTCTTACTCCATGTCTGCCAATTGGGTATATGTGTCCAAATTTATGGTACCATTCATTTTTCTAAGATGAAAATCTAAATAGTTAGATTTGAGAATAATCCTTGAAGCAATCTTAACTTTTAATTTCCAGTATACCAGATATTCCAGGCATGTTCATTTTACATACGTGCCTACGTGTTTCCCATGTAACTTTTGACAAATATTTAGATTATTCCAGGAAGAATTCTGGCTCTAACTGATTGTTTTCTAATTATGTTATACATGTTCATTTTACATACGTGCCTCCATGTTTCCCATGTAACATTTGACAAATAATATTTAGATTATTCCAGGAAGAATTCTAGCTCTAACTGATTGTTTTCTAATTATGTTATCTGTTTACAATCTGTGCTCCTCTCAGCTTGGATAAGAAAAATGGGCTAGTAAGTTTTGCACTTTCCTAGTCAGTCTCTTCTATTCTATGGTTCTTGCTTGTTAGCTTGTAGTATTTTAGTATTACTTTTTAAGGTACTACTTTTAAATCAAATTTTTTTCCATTACAAGGCTACTGCGTCTTGTACTTCAGGTGGGCTGAGACAGAAGCTCAATAGTCTATATTATAATTACAAATTTGCTTAACATTTTATTCCGTGGTGTTTGATTCATTCCAGCTTTAAAAGATTCCAGTAAGAGATCCATTAACAGCGACTGGAAAATTGAGCTTCCTGGTGAGTTTCAGATCGCAGGCACTACTGTCCGGTACGTGCGAAGGGGTCTGTGGGAGAAAATCTCTGCCAAAGGACCAACTAAAATACCACTGCACTTGATGGTAACTTTATATCCTTTGTTTGTGTTTCTTAAGTGATGCAACATAAAGGGTTTATATCCTAGCTGAAAGTTAAATTTTGATTGTTTGCTTATTGACCAGAGCTTTTTAAACTGCTGTCGTGCCTCACTTTGCATTCTCTTGCAGCGTTGCAAAGGCTGGAGAAACCCAGCTCCCTGTGTAAAAATAAATGATGCTGGATTGTGGGACAACATGCAGTGTCCCAGTAGGTGCATATAGTACAGAATACTCCTGTAGTGTGTTGCAGACAATGTGACAGATCCATTCTTGCAGACATAGGTTTCCAGGGGTCTTCTTTATTTCATGGACATACCTGCTCACACACAGGAAAGGATATTTGCTGAAAAATCTCAGCTGGTGCCAGAACATATTCTGTATTTAAATGCACTGTTGCTCTAACAGAAGAGATGTAGATTTGGGGGGTACAGATGCTACATTTGAATTTGACACCCTGTAGTGACTTAGTTACACATGGAAATGTTCTGGGTTTTCTTTATGTTGTTTTTTAAATTTTATGTATTTTAAGGTGTTCTTGAAAGTTTTTCCTAATATTCCACATAGTCCTGTTAGCCAGGTATGTCATTTTATAAGAGGTCATATGAGAACATGAGGGAGAAGTTCACAGGGGTGAGAAGAACAGGACTGGCTTCCCAGTCCTGTCACTGATGGGTGAGGGGGTGACTCACAGGCCAGTCCCTCAATGTTGGTGGTGACCTCAGTGTTTCTATCTGTAAGATAGCTGTAATAATGCCTGTCTCATGTATGTGTTACTAGTTGAAAGTTTGCAGAAAGCTTTACAGTTTCTATAGTGAGGTTTGCATACAAACATAGAGTATTTTAATGTATGCATTGTTTCCTGTAACTGTTTTATCCAATTACATTTTTGTGTGTACTGTTTCTTTTCCCTGTGACTTTTTGCCACATTTATTCACTGAAGGCTATCTGTAAGCAATCCTAAAAATCAGAAGTCTCTTCCTTTCCTCACCTGAATTTTTTGGCTGTTCGTTGTGCAACATTTTGTGGCCCAGTTTGAAAAGCTCAAAAGTTGCTTGAACTTTTCACACACATGCAAAAAATAATGCTAATACTCCAGTTGCCAGTACTTTCCCTATGTGAAAATATGCTGCATAGGAACATGAGGTGTTTCTTCTTTGCTTTCTCAGACAGATGAGGGAGTTCACCAGGTTCACATAAAGACCACTGTAAAGCTGGAGTCAAAGAGGTTACTACTGAAATAGTCAGTGGTGCAGGTTTGGGCACACGGGCACCTTTCTGACTCAACCATGTAATTCAAGGTCTGCCCACACAAGGGAAGTGTATACAGGAGCCATCTTCATCATCAGAAGAGTCAGCTTCTGCTTGACTTTGGCCTTAACACACATCTTCCCTCCTGAAACCAGGACTATGATGAACTATCTTGTACTGGCAAGGTCTTCCTAACCTCATGTAAGAAAAAGGAGTTGCTCTGGTACCACTTGTGAAGATGCTGTGTAGGGTTCCTTTGCCAGCTCTTGGACATTCCAGGGCATTACTTCGTTGAGGTGAACTGCAGGAAAATCTGGAACCAGAGTTTGCGACCTTCAGCGTCAGTAGAGCTTTGTTTTTAAAGAAATACTCTTTTCCCCTTCATTAAGGAGTAAGCAACTAGCATAGGAAACTAGTGATTGTGAGGTTCTCCATGAGTATCCTTTTCACGTACAGACTGGCATTTTCAGCACTTATGAGCAGAGGAAGTTTTCCTTCTTCACCTTCCCCCCAGAAATGATTAAATAGGAGGAAAGTAAAAGTTACCAGACCATTAAAAAAAACCATGTGGCTTAAAATCACTGCCAGTCATAAACAAAGTACACGTGAAGCCTTTTCTTCAAATCAGATATTAATCTTTTCCTTGATACAGGGTAGCGGGTTTCATTCTTTCAACGCCAGAGAGCAGGATGGTTACCCGTTACCTCTAAATAGAAAACTGTTGTTCAAACAGTGGTGGAATACACGGGACTGACAAAGAGCCAGAAGCTTCAGTCAATCCATTGTGACCTGCATTTGAAACCAATTATACACACATACACACACACCCCAATTATATATGGCTACGAAATTGCATGAAATTGGTTTCATATGGGCCTTTAGATTCACTAGTCTTGCACCCATATTGAGATAATAAGGATTTCTTTTTAGGAGCTGGTTTTTAATACTTGAGGCATTTCTCCAAGTGCATTGCTGTAAGTATATTTCTTGGAGAAATTAATGTTTGTGTAACTAGGCCTGTGCTAGACCTCCTCTCGGCAACAGAGGACAAGCAAACACTCCCAGAGCATAAAGATGCTTTAGGCAAGACTGATTGATCAATTCTGTAGAACAAGCTGTTCATCTCTCATGCACATAAACAAAGCCAGAGCAGGACTTGAGTTCTTTGCCTCTGACTGCCTGGTATTTTAAATTGTGTTTGAAAAAAACCAGCATTCATCTTTGAAACTGGAATGGTGACTGCCTAGTTTCAACCTTGGTATTCAGTTCTGGAAGTAAAGCTCCCTCTGTAGCTGAAGCAAGATCATATCTCTGTTCCCCACATCTTCTGGACAGTGCTTTTCTGCCCAGGGCTTTTCTGCACTGTGCAGAGCAACTCATGGGTGCTGAGTTTGTGTAGCCCCACAGCATTCCCTCCACAGACCTCCAGGATCTCAGTGGCCGCAAGCTAGACCCCTTCTTTCAGCACATAGGGCTAATTTTTTGGTTAAATGAGCTTATGACAGCTTTAGTGAGATTATTCATTAAGTAGGAGTGATTGCTGCAAATCTGAATGGGAAACAATTATTGTTGGGAGAAAAAAAACATTTGCAAATTTGCTTTTAATCAGGCAGCAGCTTGCTTTACTTATTATAGCCCTACTCAAAATATCTTATTTGATAAGGGGCTGCTCCTATTTCTGTAGGTGACAAGACTCAGCAGAATTCACTTGTCTAATGCTGCTGAGATTATGGGATAATAAATATAAGTAAGTCTAAAGCCACACCATCAGCATTACAGTAGTACTTCCATGGCATTTGTTAATAGTGTGATTACTCAGATTCCATGGACCTCATACTCCTTTGGGTATCTTCTAGACACTTCTGACTCAAGCCAGTGAAAGTGAAGGCCAAATGAAACCCAACATGTAAATCTAAACAGGACCAGAACTGTCATCTGCCTGTGGTGAAAAAATAAGCATTTTTCTTTGTTCCTCTGTCTCTGTTAATAGTCAGTGAATTTTGGAGTAATAACACTAGAGACATCACATGTGATCAGCCTGCTGCTGGAAGCAGGTTTCACTTTCCTCTAGCAATATGCAGGGTATGAAAATATGTATGTTGACAGCAGCTGTATGATATGGCTCTTCCTTGTCATCCTCAGGTTTCTTGTCAGCAGGAAGAGTCACGCTCACTTTGAGTGCCACATTGCCCAGGAGGCACATGACTTATTTTTTGCATTAGTTATTTTTGCTTTGAGAAGGATCACCTTGTTCCTTCAGACGTGTTAATAAACTTTTCTGCCTTCAAACTAAGGACTGCTGCAACCCAACTCAAATGCAACAGTAAATGCTGCAGCTCACAGAATCACTGAAGGGTTGAAGTGGAAGGGGACCTTCCTTTGGAAGAGGTTGCCTCTTCCAGACTCCCTGCTCAGGCAGGACAGGATGCCCCATCCCTGGAAGTGTTCAAGGCCAGGCTGGACGGGGCCTTGAGCAACCTGCTCTAGTGGGTGGTGTCCCTGCCCAGGGCAGGGGGTTGGAACTCGATGATCTTTGAGGTCCCTTCCAACCCTAACCATTCTATGAATCTATGATTCTATGCCCAGGACCATGGTCCATAAACAGTAGAGTGTTAACCCAGAACTTCCCCATTCTCTACAAAGGTCTCCAACCACAAGCCTGAGTCTCTGCCTGAGGCTTGCAGACAACTTGTTTTCTAGAAAACAAGGGTAGGACAGGTGTGACGAGTCACTTTTCAACTCTACATACTCATTAAAATAGTTATTATATGAGAACTGCTGATTAAATCCTTCCTGTTGTCTTACTGTTTGTCTTTAGATAGCCAGTGGCCTGCTCAGCGCATTTGAGGCTTAAACAAAGTTGTGCATCGAATTCCAGGTTTAGACATCTCCATGGCTGTTTTAAATATTCACAAATCCTAGGCAGTTATTGCTCCTGCAGATGCCCTGGTTTACCAATACCACTGTAATTTCAGGTTTCTAGATAAAGGTTTGGTTGCCTTTCACAAGGTACTTCTATTTTAGAAATAATTGGCCCGAGACAGCGTTTCCAGCGTTACTGTCTCTGCAGTCTGTTGGCTTTCCCAGTACACAGTGTGTTGTAACAGTTTTTCTTTTCCTGCTGAACCAGGTGCTGCTATTTCATGACCAGAATTATGGAATTCATTATGAATACACCATTCCTGTAAACTATACTGCTGAAAACAGAAGCGAGCCAGAAAAGCAACAGGATTCCTTGTACATCTGGACGCACAGCGGATGGGAAGGGTGCAGCGTGCAGTGTGGAGGAGGTAAGGCTCTTTTGGAAGCTTGGTGGGACTTGCTGGACGGTGTTTGCAGACACCAGCCATTAGAGAGGTGCCTGCAGAAGACAGTGTTGCCAAAGCCTAAAGGAAACTGGCCATGGGAATGGATGTTGCTGTAATGAACTCAAATGAGAGCTCATTCTCACCAGCTCTCCCAGCTATCATCCACATCCCCACAGTTAATTTTCACCCAGGGTTTTGGCAGGGACACGGCTTTGTCGGCTCGTTACCGTAGGCTGGAACTGCACCTGGATTAGTGCTCCACGGATGGCTCGAGGCGCTGTGTGCAGCCCCATATCTCAAGGCTCCGTCACATTCTTGGAGCAGAGTTTTCACAGGTGTTCAGGCATGTTCCCTGAAAGACACTTCCTTCCCCAGGGATGGAACGGGGGCAGTGCTGCTGTGACAACTCCTGGAGATTGCGTCAGGCGCTCTTAAATGTGGGGTGGGCTTTCTGGGAGCACACAAGCACGCTGCAAATCACACTTTTCAGATGATCCCTGGGATGTGCTGAGGCAGATTTGCTGAAACCTGAGGGGAGGAATTGATGTCTGTGAAACCAGAGACTGGTTTGTCAGCCACTGACCAGTGAATTTTCAGAGCTGGAAGAAGGAGGTTTTTTTCCCTGAGGAAAAGAGATCATTTCCATGCGTTTTGGCCAGTCTTTCTTCACCAGCAGGCCAAATTATTTATCATATTAGAAGATACAAAGAAAGAGTGCTCACCTTCCAGTTTGAAGGCTCACTGCCCTCAGTGTACTGACATCATGGATTAATTTTTTTCTGTAAATATAGCTCATTTTAAAATGGACACTTACTTTTACTCGTGTTTTAAAACAGTAATTTCTTAGAGCCATTAAACCCTCACATGAATGAGTAGGAAACTTGTTTGTGACTCTTTTGATTTGTGTTCCAAGCCACATTGGAATCAAATCAGTACCTGGCAACATGGCTCCCACCGGTAGCACCTTGGTCTCTTATAAATGCTTTTACTACTTATCCAAGCTGGGAAGGGACTTTTTCCTTCCATACAGGCTTTTATAATTTTTTTATTAACAGAATTTGAGTTATATATTATTATCTGCTGCAGATCATGCATAAACTCCATTTGATGCAGAGTCAAGGTTAAGAAAAGGATCTGAGAAACCAAAATAATTAGCAGTAAGGCAAAGTCATGGTGCAGGGATGGCATTTTCTTTGTCACATCTGGTCGTTGTCATGCCACCCCGTGGCACAGCCTTCCTGATGTCACACAGTGGAAGGCTGAAGCCTGAGGGCCACACTGCTGTGTTTTGGTGAAACTCTGAGAAGTGCTGACTACTCCTGAGATGTCTCCTGTTTGGCAAGGTTTTTTAAGTCATATATCTAGAGGACCAGAAGATGAGAAATAATTTATTTTGGTGGCTTAATTTCACCTCTTTGTGAAATACAAACAAGCCCAGTTTATCACTCTTAAGCTCTGGTGACTCCTTTTCAACCTGACTCTTTCTGAAGGGGAGCAGCAGGAGGCAGCTCTCCTGTCATCAGTCACTGAGGGGTGGACGGTTGCGTGGCTTCAGCTTCTGTAGCTGGAGCATCTGGCCTGGGTGATTACAGGGCACAGGTACATGTGGAGGAGGAACCAGAAATGAAAGCAAATTGTTTCAAGATCATTTTCACATCAAACATTAGAAAGAGAAAGCCCAGTGTGCTGTTCCTGTGAAACAGTCAATTTCACAATTACTGGGGAAAGATTTGTAGCTTTTCTGAAAAAAACTCAAAGGAACAGTATGAAGGTAAGACAGAAGTGAGAAATAAGATTGCTTACAGAGGTAGTAGGTCTTTGTAGATAACATCTTTTAGAGACAGTAGGGAGCTCCTAGGTTTTGAGTTTTGATTAATTGGTTGACACTCATTAACTGGTTCTTAGCCATTGGTTGCCTTTTTCAGAATTGTTTTTTATTTGACTTGCAGGTGAACGGAAAACCATTGTGTCCTGTACTCGAATTATTAACAAGACCATGACACTGGTGAATGATAGTGACTGCCAACGAGCGAATCGCCCCGAGCCCCAGGTCAGGAAATGTAACACACACCCCTGCCAGTCACGGTAAGGAGTTTAAAAATAAAACCCAATATCCTTTTCTTTCACAAATCGCCCATTTCCAAAGGCTCCATCTGGTGAACATGGTGAAAATGTCTGAAAGTATTGGAACACATTGTTAGCCATAGTAACCAGCTGTAATATTCATTTCCTTTTGTTGAGCAGGTCAGATTTTCATTTACCTCTGAGTCCGTTTAATTTGTGGCCAGTGAGGCCAGATTCCATGCAAGCTGGGATGGTGGTTTTTTTCCCCTTGGCTGCCTCCTGGGTGACAGAGCAACTTGCAGTATAAAGCTAAAGAAGAGTGCAATGAATGCATAGCTAACCTTTTATTTCTTTTAATCAGCACGGAGTAGGGGCTGATTAATTGTCAAACAGTGCTACAAAAAACTTCACAAACAACCCCCAACCTTTAAGTTCCTCCAGCTGACCTGCTGTGTCCTGTGCCTGAGCTGTATTAGCGTAGTTTAGACTGGGCATCTTTGGGCAAGAAGTGTCTCTTCTTCATGTGCAGATGTACAGTGTCTGGCAACACCTGTATAGTTTGGAAACATACCTGAATCTCACTGAAGTCAAGAAATTAAGAAGAAACTTATTTTAGATGCTTTCCTCAGTAAGGGTGCTTTTCTGCATCGATAGGAGTAATTAGAAGTCTAATAGTAATAAGTTCTAAAAATAATAGAAAGCTCTCTCTACTTTGGCAAGCACTTTTAGCTGAATTAATTTTGATCTGCATTATATAAAAAATGACATTTCTGGGCAAAATAACAAAACACATAACGGCAAATTAATTTGTTCAGTTTGCGAACAAAAAAGTTCACTCTCACGTTGCATTGTGGAATAATGTGGACGCTCCATTTTTGACAATAGTTAGAACAGAATATCAATTTAGCATAAAGCTCAACAATAGCTAAAAAAGCATATTCAAAACAACCTGTGCGGTTGCATCTTGTATAATCAGACAAGCCAGAGAAACGTACCTACAAAGCTAATCCTGCTGGCAGAAACAATGGGGAAAATGAGAAACAACACACTTCCTTCTAATTAGACCTGCACTCTGATTAAAGTGCCCTGAAGCAGGGAAATCCAGTGTCAGGTAATCCATCAATAAGGCCAGGCTGTTTCAGGTTTCGTTTTCTGTCTGTGCTGCCTGTTGTTGCTGCTGCACAATATTGTGGCCGTACTGCTTTCAGGGGTACAGAAAGGTATAATGAGATGTCCCACCTGCTTCTCGGTGTGTAAGGGGAGCCAGACTCCCAGTGACTTCAAGGAAACAGCTGTTATTTCCATGAGGAAGTTTCCTAAATTCAGTGACGTTGGAATTTCTGTCATGTCGTTCTCTCAGAAAGACAGAAACAAGGACCATCTGCTTGAAATATTTATTCTAGACCTTTTGTGACACCATTGGGAGGAGACTGGAGTGAGCCCAGGCAGGTGTATGGAGGGGTTCCAGGTGGAAATTATAAAGCTCTGGAAGAAGTAGACAGCTTCTGCCTCTCCTAGTTGAGAGCAACAAAGGGAAGTCTTGGCCATCAAGTCTATTAGACCCATAAGACCCACAGTGCTGCTTCTCATTGGGACCTCCGTGATCCTGAGCCCTGGATGAAGCCTCCTTTTTGTTGCACGCTTTCACAGTGACATTGCTGCCTGTCCAGGCAGTGACAGTGGGTTAGGTTAAATCACACAAAACCTCCTGAGAACAGAATACTCTCTTCCTATATCCAGATTGTGTTCTTTTGTGGATTCTGGTCCAGTCCTTAATGTTATTCTAAGATATCTCTTCTTGTGAATGGAGTTACCAGGTAATTTATAACCACAATTTACCACAGTGGTCTCCAGGAGTAATTAGCACTGGCACAGTGACACTCTCATCGGTCCATGTCTTTGTCAGAGCAATGACAGCAAACACCAAATGTGCTTAGTACCCAGAAAGGCCACAAAATCCTTGCTGATGATCTGATAGACCACACTCTCTCACTCCCTCCGTGTAGACCACACTTTCACACTTAACATGCTTTTGACTGGAAACATTTTCAGAAGCACATTCTCTGTGCCTCTGTAGAATTTAAATTTCCACTTGCGTTTGCCCACCCAGATATTAGAAATGCATGCTTAGCATATTCTCTGACCAAGAACATCTTAAAGAAACCGTTCTCTTTCACCATGTCAATGCTTTTTTATGAGTCCTGAATTTGTTTTAGGGTTTCAAGTAAAATTATTGTAGCATCTTGTTACAATAAGGTCCTTTCCCGTTTCCACTCAGACCTAAGCCCTTTACCTGAGTGCAGAAGAAAGAACAATGCTTTCCTTTCTGTAGTAAACCTGCTCTGTTTTGTGTGTTTTGACCTACATTTATACTTTTACTCAGAATTGAAAAGAATCACCTTACAGAGAATTTATCTCTAGGGAAGGGTCTTATGGCCAGCACAGGAGTGGGTCATAGGACAGTCTCTGTTTCTCTTTTGGATGTGTTGTGTGACTTTAATTTACTGTCCCACACTGTCCCTTTGCTTCTTCTAACATCCGTATGTTATCTGAATTGCAAACTCTTTGGGATGGGGTGAGATCATGTTGAGTAAATGGAGGAAGAGGAGGAGGCTATTGCTGTTGAGATTGTAATGAAAATAAAAAAATAATAACCCACGTTATATATATAAAGTGATCTGGAGGAAAAAAAAAAAAAAAAGGGTATGATATTAATAACAGTGTCTTTCTTCCAGCACGATCCCAAAGTGCTTTGCAAATTATATATCCCTTTGAACTTCAGCCACCTCTTGGGAGAGCCAAATAACGTGGGGCAGGGGACAGTATTTTCATGAGGCCAAGGAGAAGATTAGAGCTCTGCAACTGCAACCCAGCATCTGAAAAAAACAAAGCAGGATTGAAAAAAGGATTGGATACACTGACATGTTTTAAAATTAAACGTCAGAGAAGAGAATTTTCTTAAGGGTTTTGTTGAAACTGGCAAAAATAAAAGAATCTTTCATTCTTTATTATTGTTACTCTTTCACCTTTTAAAAAAATGCCTCTTTTTCTTCCTATTTTATTTTTTATGTTCCTTGACCCTCTTTTTCCATTAAATTCTTTACAGCTTCCTTTCCTGTCCCAACTGCACCCTATTAGCACCTCTTTATTCTAATCCTTTGCCTAGCTCTTTAGATATTTTTTACAAAACCCTGCTGTAACCAGATGGAATCTGGATTCTTGCATGCGGTGCGTATGGGTTGTTTCCAGCACACTGAACACCAACCCAAATATATAGGCAAACCCAGCACTCATGTTGGCACAGGACTCAGAAATCACAGATCACATCAGCTGTTATTACTGAAAACATAGGTCGGCCAGTGGCCACACACTTCAACATGCATGGTTGGGTCTATGAATATCAATCTGCTCCCCTCTAATGCAGGAAGAGAACCAAAACCACGTGAATTTTCCCAACTGTTAGACTTGTAATGGCCTGTATGCAAACACTGTTAATTTTCCTCCTCTTTGCTGTAAGAGATTTTAATAGAGGTTGAGTTCTTTCAGGGACCTGCTGAATATGTGATGTTCCTACACGGATGCTTAACAGCAGCATAAAAGCCAGAAATCCCTGCCTTCATCTACAGAAAACCACAGGAGACCTGAGCCCTTATTTTCACTGTTTAGGACTTGAAAGTATCTCCTGAGTCCAAGGGTTAGTTTTCTGCTACTACCAGCAGCATGTCATAGACTCCTTTTTGCTCCACAATCTCCTTCCCTCACTGGAAGGCTCCTCTGTGACCTTGCTGTTCGTGTGGGTCAGGAACTTTTCTTTCCAGCCTTAATTATTCATTGTCATGTTTCAGCCATTTGTTCTTGCATCAGCTCTGTTCCTTTGCTTATACAGTATTTTCCCTCCCTAGCTCTTTGCCTTGGGCTAAGTGCCATATGATACAGCAAACCAATGTATCTCCTCCTTCCATCATTTTGCTGGGCTAAATCCATTGCTTTTCTTTAACTTTTTATTGGATCAGAGATTGTGCATCAATTTTTCATTCCCTTGGTCTCCTTCTCTACCGGTGCTCTTAATTTATGTTATTTAAATTCATAATTTGAGTGCATAGGTGACCAGAATTTTATGGAGAAACCCAGTTTCTCTGGGCTCATACTCTTCCATCTTCATTGGCAGTAACTCTCCAAATACGTGCTTTGCTTTTTTAAAGGCTGCATTGTATTTGTGGCTTACAGTCATGCTAGATGTTTTCCTCCCCATTTGTTTCAACATATGAATCCTACTTTAAAACAGAAATGCTTGTTATTAGTCCCCAAGCACCCAACCTTGCACTGCATGCTATTAGTTTTTATCCTATCTCTGTTATTGCAGTACTCGAGGTTATTCAGCTCTTCCTGGATGACATCCTAATCCTTCATTGCATTGACAATGCTTTTAGACTTTGTATTGTCAGAATTTTTCCTGATTTTTCAGCAGTTTTTTTTTTCTTTTTGTGCCAAGGTTATTAATGAAAATACTAAATTAGACCAAATGCAAGACAGATCTTTCAGGAAGTCCACCACTAACCAACCTACATTCTGTTCATACCTGATGGTCCTTTACAGCACTAACTGTGGCCAGCTCTTGCCTACCACACAATTTATGTATTGATACCCTTGTTTCCCAGCATATTACCAGTTTCTCCAACTTACATTTTTCCAGTGCAGCAAAAGGAGCTCTTTACTAATAACCAAATAGATTAAATCTACCACATTTACTTTGTCTGGAAAAGCAGTTATTTTAATCAAAGAAATACAGCCAATGAGTTTTGCCTGGAGGAAACCTATGTTGCATCCATTTACCACTATGTCCTTGATTATTGTCTCCTTCCAAATCTGTTCTAAAAACTGGCACGCTGCTGAGGTCAGGTCTGTGGTTACCTGGATTGCTTCTTTCTTCCATTCTTCTATTCTGCTTTCACTTTTCCATCCGTGGACTGGAACCTAACACTGTGCTCTCCAGGGGCTCACACACCACAGTAATTCCCACT